AACAAATATTAATTAAGAATAAATTTGTAAAAAAATACTAATTATTCATTAATTTTGAAATAATTTATTAATGTATATGAAAAATATATACTAAAAATTAATTAATAAATAAATATTTAAATAAATTATAATATTCAATATCATTGCATATTTTTAATGTAATAAATTTTATAATTTTCATAAAATTTATTTAATATATAACAAATGACACAAAATAAAATATAACAATTTTTTTTTAAGATTCAAAATTATTATTACATTGAATTATATGATATTTTGTTATTTTAAATAAAAATTTTATATATCATTGGACACATTGAATATATAATTTTTTTAAACATCCATTAAAAATGATTTATGAAATAATAATAAAAATAAACATAACAAAAAATATTAAAATATATTTAATGTTCTTAACTACCTAAAAATTCAAAAGAAACAAAATTGCTCACCTAGAGTCCACAGAAACATGCTTGAAATGCACGCCACGGGCGTTGATAATGATAACCCGGTGGCTATTAACCGCATACACATCTTTCTAAGATAATTTATCAATATAATATGATTGAAAAAATGAAGGTTACAACGCCTTAGGCCACATAATTGTGCCGCACAAGTTTAAAAAATAAACGTATAATAAATATTCCCTACATTTTAAATAAAAAATATTTATGATTTTAAAAATATTTTTTTTTATTTTAAATAATAAATAAATATAATTATTTTAAGTATTGTATAAATCAGCAGTTAACAAAATTTGTAGCAACAGAACCAACAGTTAATATGGTTAAGAAATCATTTAATAACTTAGGATGCGTTTATTTTTAATTTTAAGTATTTATTATTACTTTCTTATTAATTTTTATAATTATATTAATCATAAAAATATTTTATCTTGAAAAAATAAAAATAATAAAAGACGCATCTGAGTGACGTAACGCGTGACTTCAATTTATTTTACTAATAATGTGCAAATTGTAATTTTCTGCACTTCGAATCTGTCAAAGAGAGGTCAGCTTCTTTGGATCTAATCCAAAATCTATAGTCAATTGGTAGACTTGCAGGAACAAGGGTTGAATCAAATTAAAAAAATAATAATAATAAAACATTTCGTAATTAAACGTTCATTGCAAAGTAGGGACAATAATTCAAACTAGAATCCAGGTTCTTTGCAATTGCGGTCAAGGTCGTTAAAAAATTAATAATAAATAATTTTTTTATATCATAAATTTAAGTTATTACTCACAAAAAAGATTTTTTTAAAATATTCTTTTTTTCCTTAAATTAAGTATATTATTTTTTTCTATTTAAATATTTTATTATTCTCAAATACTATTGCTTAAATTTAGTTAATACAATATTAAATTTAAATTTTTGATACATCTGGTTTGGCTTTCTCAAGGCCTTAGTCTTTTTACTACTAATTCAATGTAATAATTTTTTTGACATATCATATCAAATTTAAATTATATATTATCTACATAAAAAAATTTAATATTATTGTAATCATAATGTTTATTTTTAATTTAATGTTCACACATAATATTGAATTAATAAATATAAGGATCATTTTTAATCCAAATATTTACTTTCAAAAGTCACAATCTTTTAATTTTATTCATGTATTATAAAAGATTATTTATTGTTTTTAACTAAAAATACTTTTATTTTTTTATTTTTTAAATTTATTTAAATTAAAAGATACAACATATTATAATAGATTTCAGACTTCATTCTTAGTTTTCGCAAAAACAAATCATATTTTTCTTCTCATGAAATCATATGCTTTTTTTCACATATTGTAATCATGTTTTAAGCTTTCGTATTAATTAAATTTATATTATTTGTAAATTAACTATTCAATTAAATGACATTTAAATTTATTTAATTGTTGTAATTGGTTGCTAAACTTCATTAATTTATAAATCATTTTAAAAATTAAGTATATTAATTTTTAATAATTTGAAAATTAAAAGATTTGAATATCTAAACTTTGTATATTTTAATTTATTTTATTATCATGAAATAATTTTCACTAATAAAATATTTTTAAATGTTATGTTTATTTAATAAGGAAAATAAAGTTATATTAAAAAGTATTGTAATAATTTAACTTTTTTTTATAAATCACTTGTGCGTATAATGTTAAAAAATAATACAATTATATTTTAAAAGAATTTATTAATTATTATTTTTATTTAATTATCATAATATAATCTTTATGAAGTATTTTACTACTGATGTTTGTTTGAAATTTTAAAAATATTTTGAAAAAGTTGTCATCAATATCAAAGTATTGAGCTAAGTTTTTTATTAAGTCATATTCTTAAGATTGTTGTAAAATTGATTCGAAATAGGTAATCAACAAATTATTTTGAGAGAAACGCTGTCTTCAAAAATTATTTCAGTCTAATATCCTCTTGAATACAAATAAACTTTTCTCAGCTGAAGACCGAAACTCTCAAGAACTAAATATATTTTTATAACTTAAAAAATGAAAAAGAAGAAGTGAAAAAAAGTTGTACTAATTTTTTTTTCCAAAAGAATATATAACCTTACTATCCATACACACGTAAGCGTTACCTGTAATTGTTTCTACACACATAAAATTTTAACTTTGCTATTAGAAGAATAATTAGACTCAATAATTTGCTCAGTATTTTAATGGTGATGACAACTTTTTAAAATAGTTTTAAAATTTTAAACAAATATTAGTAATAATATCATTTTATAAAAATTAAATTAAGATAATTAAATAAAAAATAATTATTAATTTTTTTAAAATATAATTGTCTAATTGTATTATTTTATAATGAATGAAATACTGCTTATTTCTGGACACAATTTCAAAAAAAAAAAAATTGAAAGGATGAGATCAAATTAAATCATGGCCAAAGTATTAAATTAATTTATATTATTTGTAAATTAAATAGTCAACTAAATGAGATTTAAATTTCGTTAATTGTTGCAATCGATTGCTAAATTTCATTAATTTATAAATCATTTTAAAAATTAAGTATATTAATTTTAATAATTTGAAAGTTAAAAGCTTTGAATATATAAATTTTGTATATTTTAATTTATTTTATTATCATGAATAATTTTCACTAATAAAATATTTTTAAATATTATATTTGTTTTATAAGGAAAATAAAGATATATTAAAATGTATTGTAATAATTTACTTTTTTTTTTATAAATCATTCATATATATAATGCATGAAATACTACTTAGTTGTAGATACAATTTGAAAATAAACTAGAAAGGATCATCATCCAATCAAATCATGGCGAAAATATTTGTTATTTAATAGTCCTACACAACTGTCCTTGGTTGAGGGTTTCTTAGACCGAGACTGGACTTAAAAACTAACACTCTAATTTGATTGAAAGGTTCTTGCAAGCAATGGTATACTCAATTCCTTTTCCCAAAGCCCTTTTGGCTTCCAATTGTATTGAAGGGGCGCATGGAAAGTTTGTGCTAGCTACTGCTCAATTATTTTGAAACGCCTAGAATTGTCCCTCTTTTTCACAAACTAGTGTAGCTATAGATAAACAACAACAATAATAATATAATAATTTTATACCATGGTGGAGTCTTACACTAATTAACAATATTCAGATGTGTATAAAGCCAAAGTGTGAGCTGCAAAAGATTAACCTAAATGGAATCTCATTTTCCACAAAGGCAATAATACTGTTGGAAGATACGCTAAACGTATTTTATTTATGTGCAATTGTGGTCCAATTTGGTTAAAGACGACACGTATCCAACTTCTACCTATAACTTCTATGTCTAGGCCAATTTTATTATTATTCTTACCCTCGATCTTATCCAAGGGAATTCAATCCTGTTAATAAATTTTTAACAGCATTGATGCTTAAAGTCAATAGTTAACTATGTATTGTTTACTTATTAATCCCTTTTAATTTAAGATAAATCAACAAATAAAATATTAAAATTCCTTTTAATTAAATCACTTGATTAAATTATGAAGCATGAATTATAATTACACAAATAAATAACAAATACCAACATCGTTTAAGATTACATACACACAATATTTCATTTGAGCTATTAATTTTGGAATTTTTTATTAAATAAATTAAGTTATATAACATCAGTTTAAGTGATAAAGAAATTGTTTTTTCTAAAATAATGTATTTTATTATGTTATCAGTTTTTCTAATTTATGTAAAATTCACATAATAAAAAATAAAAAATAATATTTTTTATTAAAAATTATAATATCTAATAATATTAATACAATAAATTGCATTAAATTTTGTATTTTCTTAATAAAAATATTGACAATTTTTAAAATAAATTCGTTATGTTATTTATATCCCTTTTTTTTTTTTTCTCCTCTGTGAGACCATGTTGAGATCGGTTCTAAAAGCCGTTCGCAAACAATTGCAAATGAGAAGATTTGAACATACATATTCAATTCAGGTTAATTACATCTTGTAACTTTACCAAGTAAATTATTATTATTTTTTATATATCTTAGGACACGATAAACATTGCATAATTTGAACGCTTTTAGGGGAAATAATGTAAGATCAATAATGGGCAATAGATTTTGCAACAAATTAAAGTATAAGAATCATGATTCACTGTGACAATGAAGCTTTTATTGCATTGATGCAACTTGAGCATTGAAAGTGAATACGAGAGTAGACAGATATGTGGAGCGGAATCCAACGGTGATGGGATCTTTGTAACATTTGCGGATAACCGGAGCCGCTCTCACCCATTTCTTTGGAAGCCTGCTTGGGTGTCACCAACCATACCCTGACCGTTACTAACTCAACCATGGTTGTAGAATAATAAAAGCCAACAATGGTTAATTATTAGTTTATGATGCTTGCACCGCACTACGACATATGCACCACGCTTGATCGTCTTTTTATATACCACATCCATATACGCCTTACCTCACTCACTTTCCTTCCTACACATACACAAACGTTGCAGTTCAATTAAAGCCTGTGACGCTTTTCTGTTTAATTTTGAGCGTTACCACAATCTAGTTAAGCCCATCAATATTCCGCAAGATACCATTTAAAGTGTTGAATTAGTTAGGCAATTATCGAAGATGAGCTGCAACGGTTGCCGTGCCCTCCGAAAAGGTTGCAGCGAGGATTGCGTGCTGAGACATTGTCTACAGTGGATAGAGAATCCACAAGCCCAGGCTCACGCCACACTATTTGTCGCCAGGTTCTTTGGCCGTGCCACCCTCATCTCTTTCCTTTCTTCAGTACCCACTAACCAAAGATCTGGTATGCATATATTAAAATTGTTACTAGTATTTAATCTCGCCGATTAATTGCTTGCAAGAGTACATTAAATAAATGCAGTATTGTGTTTTCAGTCTTATAATATGTTATAAAGATGGGGACATGGCATTGGTAGGTATGTTTCGGTCACTTTTGTATGAAGCAGTGGGACGTGCAGTAAATCCAGTGAACGGAGCAGTGGGGCTGCTATGGAGTGGCAAGTGGAACCTCTGCCAGTTGGGGGTTGAGAATGTTCTCCGAGGTGCCGCATTGACTCCACTGCCCCATCACTCATCAAGGAAACTCTTTCCTCATGTCAACGTCGCACAACCTCATACACTCTTGGGAAGCTGTCAGCCACTGATGAATTCGGAGATGACAACCTTGCCAAGTACCACAGGAGACACTGCCTCTCAAACGAAGCTCCTCACTCTTTTCTTCTGACTCTCACCAGTGTTAAATTTTTCAATATTCCTACCCCCCCCCCCCCCCAAGCTAGCTACTATATAAATATTTTCCACGTTCCTTTTCTCTTTTACGTCTTGTTTTTCTCTCCATTCGCCCTTGTCCTCCATGATTCATGACTATAATGAGATGAGTTGTAGTTAAACTGTTATAGAATCCATATTAAAACATCGCAAATTGTATAAATTTCTCTTGGTCAGAAATTTTAATGTATTTTTTTATAATATTAATTAAGCTACAATAAAATTGGCGTGAGGATGATGGCAATGAAAATGAAGTTGTTATTATTATATGTCAAAGTTCATATCATCGTGACGTAATTAAGAGTAATCTTTAAAAAAATTAGTAAATCTAAATTTGTGTTTCAGTCAGCATTCGAAATCGTTACCCTTTTCTGCCTTTGAATATGGTATGCATGTACAATTAATAAAATTCTTTTGACAAAAAATTGATATCTTGAAATATAACCAACATGATGTTCAAATTGGTTGCGATGTTTTTCGAGCGCAGTTACTTATGAAAGTATTCGTTTACCCTCGTCTGAAGTTTGAACCCTGCTTAGTTGGTAATGGTTCAGGAAAAAAAACTAGCAATACACTTTTAATTATTGAATAAAATTTATTAAGAAGTATAAAAATACCGAAAAACAATTGAATTAATTAATAATTAAGAATATATTAAAAAAATATATTATAAAATGTATGGCCAATGGTTCGTTCGTAGCGCTTAAAAAATCTATGTTGGCCCAACAACTAGGTTTAAATGGGATGATCGATCACTAAGTTTGCTTGACATCTGCATCTCTTTGTCGAAATTATAGTATATGGCAACGAGAAAAGTGTGTGATGCACACAGACTTCTCACTGGCCATTGAGTTCTTTTAAGAGGTACTGCATCAATCTTTGCCTATTGTTTGGGAAAAATAAAAATTTATCAGAGTTATAAAGTTAGTGTACGAAGAAAAGCTTTCAGTTTATTGGAAGTAGTTATTTTAGTAAAAAAAAAACATAAGAAATATATGATTATGGCTGTTTAATAACCCAAGTTTGTAGTTCAATTACAATATTATATCACATGGCCTTCGTAGTATTTCTCATTTTTTATAAGTTTTTACGAAGAGACGGTAATCAGAGAAAACATTGATTTTTTAGTAAATTATGAAAAAATAGATGATTAAATAAATTTGACTTTTAGTCAAAATTGACATTTCGAGAAGAATTTATCACAGGTTTTTTAATAAAAAATTATTGATGAAAAACTTGGGGCTCAAAAGTGCCAAAAATTTGTTGAAAGGACGTATTTTAGTATATTTTTAAAATAAGTGGAAAGTTACTTCATCAAAGAGAATTGAAGTGTTTCAAGTTTAGAAATATCTAAGTTCAAATTATATAGGGATATCAGAAAGTGAGAAATTTATATACTTAAAAGTTACTTCGTCAAAGAGAGTTGAATTGTTTCAAAGTTTAGAAATATCTAGTTCAAATGACAAAGGTATAATAGAAAGTAGTGGATTTATCTTGAAAGAATCTAAATTCATTGAGAGTAGTTACTATAGCATATGAAGATCAAGACACGTGAGAAAAATTGTGGATAACATGCAAAGACAGTTATGAGAACATGATTTAAGTAGTTGTATTTTTAGAATAACATGTTTTAAGTAGTTAATTCAAATTCTAACTATGTATAGATTTTTAATTCCTTCTTTAGGGGTTATAACTTTTATACAAATGTTCACACTTACTAAAATCTCTAAAGCACCAAAGTTTTACACACTAGTTAGACTCCACCACTAAAAAATTAACATTTCAATGTTTTATTATCTTTGGAAGTTGTATGTTTACGTTCATCATTTATTTTAATTCAATTCCAATTCAATTGTTTTACTTTAGTCTTTTTCTGCTTTCTTTTATTATTATTATTATTATTATTATTAATTTTATTTTTTGTGTTTCTTCTTCTACTTATTTCTATTTATATTTTACTCTTTTTATGACGTTAAATTAATAATTACGTTAAGAACACACTATAAAGAAACCGTAAAAGCAGATCTAAAATTCAATTATAATTAAATGACTCTTAAATTTATTTGTTTACTTGCTAAAATTCACTAAAAATAAATTGGCACGTCTAGTAAGACATTTGAATTAGTGTGTTATTTGGTATCTTGATGTATACTATTGTTACTTTTAGTGTATTTTATTACGTAATGAACATCGTGTCATAGCTAATAATAATAATAATAATAATAATAATAGAAGCAATAATTCTAGTAATGGTAATTTAAGAATCTAAAACAAGGGTAATAATGTTACTCCAAAAAATAACAATCGCAATGTTAATATTGCAATAGGCATAATACCAATAGTGACACTACCAACACCCTAATCATCGGTAGTTAGCCAATTAATAGTTAGTTTACTCAATTCTAATGTAGGAACTAGTCAAAGCCCTGGGCAAGACCATTATTATGGTTTGTCTCCTAAATATGTCTCACCAATTCTAAGAACTCATCAAATGACTTATGCTAATCCAATAATGATGATTGTGTCACCTAAAGACCAAATCATTCCACTGAGAATGAATTTGAGTGGCAACATGTGTAGGACCCAATTAAGAGCTTTAGGGACTTCAAGTAGGAATTCAGTCTCTACCAATTTCTTTTCGAACATTGCCTTACAATTTTTAAAGTAGCAAATGGATGAGATTAACCACGAAATGGTCATGTTAACACATCAAATGACTATTATGATTAATCTAATAATTGAAACAACCAATACTAATTATCAAGCATTGACCACACAAATGTATCGAACTATTGATGTTTATAAGACACCTCAAGACCCTGCAGGGCAAGAGCTGAATTTTGTCCAAAATCCTAACCAAAATGGTCAGTGTCAGACCAAAATGGTCCAAGACCAGTAAAAAATAACCCCTATGTTGAGCAACATGTAGTTATTGCTTGAAATTAAAATGATCTAGTGTTAGAGTGAATTTGATAAAATAATGTAAGGGACATGATCTTAAGCATAATCTTAATTATCATAATCATAACCATTAAAATATTATTAATATTGTTGAGTAAGTGTTGAATCTACACGACTTTGATGTAGGATATGTTAATAGACCTTATTTTGTCTAGACATTTTCTTAGATGATCTTGCAAGTCAAATTATCTCAGGGATGGAAAGTCCCTAAATTCTCCAAATTTGCTAGAAGATATGGAGAATTCACTATTGAACACATAGCAAGATATTTGATAGAATGTGGGGATTTAGCTAGGAATGAAGATTTAAAATTAAAGTATTTTTCTATTTCATTAACAAAAGGTGCGTTTACTTAGTTCACCACATTACCCCCAAATTCAATTCATATATGGAATCAATTAGAAATAAAATTTCACAAACAATTATTCTATGGTGAAACTAAAGTCCAATCTAATCAACCTAATTAATGTTAACATAATGCATAATGAATCTATTGATTACTATCTGAGCAAATTTAGGCAAATGAGAGCAAGTGATAGGTTGATTTTGCATTTTAGTAAAGTATGGAACTGGAGTGAATAACCAAGAAGGAAACCATAAGGTGGCCATTGAACTCCTTGAGTGATAAGGCCAATATGTAGATATTTGTTAGTCAATGATGTCATTAGTTCTACCAATTATATAGGTGCAGTGGTTGTTGATTTGAAGAGATTACTTTAGCAGTTCTTTTGCCTAAAATTTGTAGCATTTCCATGATCTTGAGCATTTGCTCCTTTAGACTATTCACTTCATCTTTCAACTTCTTGTTCTTTTGTTCTAGCTCATCTATGATTTTAGCTCAGGAACAAGTGTGATAAGGGTGTCGAGGATACACCTTGAAGTTTTATTAATTTGTTTTTTTGTAAAAAGAAAGAAAATAAAAATATTGTTAATCTAAGTTAAGTTTTAAATAGTTTAGCCATTATTTTTATTGTGTAAGAACCATAACGCTTTTTGAAGACTTGTTTAATATGTGGTAGTGGAACCACAAGTATGAAAATGGGACAAAGGGATATGTTGTTCTTGACATAAGTAACAAAGAGATTTTTATTTTTAGAAATGTCCACTTTCATGAAATGATATTCTCTTTCAAACAAACAGTCCACAAATTCCATCCATAAATCCAAATACAAATTGCCCATCTACACTACCCCTAACCCAAAACACTTCTCCTAACCGCACCACTCCAACACTTCTTGATAGATCCACCATCTCCTTAGAACCAAACCCTCTCACGACACCTCTCCAACCATTTCATCCCTTTCACCTCTAAACCCAAAATCTCCAACCTCTGACACTCCTCAAAATCCCTTCTCACTGATTCCTTCTTCTTCTTCCCTTAACTCACAACCACCTGACAATCCTCCTCCACCTCATCACTCAACTCAACTTAGCCAACCACCTTTCTATTTCACTGATTACAAGTCTGATCTCCCTTCTCTTAAATCCGCACAATCATCCTCAACGTACTATTATCTAAAGGTGTAGATTACTTTGAAACCTTCTCACCTGTTGTAAAGATGACAACAATTCGTGTGGTTCTTGCCCTTGCTTCTATCTATCGTTGGACTCTTCAACAACTTGATGTAAGTAATGTGTTTCTTCATGGGGACCTATCTGAAGATGTTCACATGGTGATTCTGCCGGGATTACATGGGTACAATTCTTCTTAGAGTTGCAAACTTCAAAAATCCATTTACAAGTTGAAGCAAGCAAGTCACAAATTGTATAAGAAATTATCTAATTTACTCTTAAACTATAGATACCATCATTCTTATACTAATCACTGCTTTTTCATTAAAATCATCATTCTAAATTTACTGCTCTTATTATTTATGTTGATGATATTGTTCTGACTAATAATTTTGTTTGAGAAATCAGTAACATCAAAAACATTCTCCACTCTAATTTTCATATCAAGGAATTAAGGACATTGAAATATTTTTTGGGAATTGAGGTAGCATACTCTAAACAAGGAATTTCTCTGTGTCAATAGAAGTATTGCCTTGATCTTCTTAAGGATTCCAAGATGGTTGCCTGCTAACCTCCTTTACGTCCATGGATAGCTCTCTTCGCCACCATGCTGACTCCTCTAGTTCCCTTCTTGATCCTCTCCTGTGTCAAAGGTTGGTTGGACGCTTAATCTACATCACTAGCACTCGGTCTAATGTAGCATTCACCACACAACAGTTAAGTCAATTCATGTTCAAACCCACTAAGGCACATCACAATGCTGCTTTCAAAGTCCTTCATCACCTTAAAAGTTGTCCCAAAAAAGGCTTGGTATTTCCCAAAACTTGTAGCACTCAAATCCGCAATTTTAGTGATGCAGATTAGGCAACTTGTGTGAACTCTCGCCGCTCCATCAACGGATACTGTTTCTTCATTGGAAATTCTCTTGTCTCAGGGAAAATGAAGAAGCAAAATATATTCTCTCATTCCTCTTCAAAAGTCAAATATTGAGCTTTGGCATTCGCCACATGTGAATTACAATGGCTCACTTTTCTTCTCAAGGATTTGCGAATTGCTAGTTCAACACAATCCCTCCTATACTGTGATAATCAAAGTGCTTTACACATTGCGGCCAATCCTATATTCCATGAGCGAACTAAGCACTTGGACATTGATTGTCACCTTGTTAGAGAAAAATCCCAAGCTAGTCTCATGCCGCTACTCTCGGTTTCCTCTTCTAATCAACTGGCAGATATCTTCACCAAAGCTCTTCTCTCTTTAGTATCAATTTATCCAAACTGAAGTTAGTTGACATCTTCCTACCTCCAGCTTGTGAGGAACTAATAGAGGAAGAAGAATATATCCAAGTTTAAACACAACATAGTACAATACACACATTCTAGAAACCATGAGTTGTAAATTGTTCAGAAATATACTATTTTTTTCTCATTATTCCTTCTTATCCTTTTAGGTCATTCATTTTATTTTATTTTATATATAAGTTGTAATCATTGCCCTGCTGTAATAAAAATATACACCAACCTTTCTCTTTATTTTCCTTTTATATCCTTTGTTTGTTAATTATTTTATGACTGAATGTAAGAGTATGAGATCGCATCTCTCAAATGTCTTGGGTACAAAGAATACTACTATTTTAGCCTACAATGAAACCCAAAATGCATTAACAATAGCGTGCAAAAACATTGGAGACATACCAACCTTTAGGGTCATGTCAAAAGGTTGAGGACAAGTAATCATGCATTACAATGTTATAGATAAAAGTAGTAGCGAGTGACCAATTTCATGCTATTTAGTCCATCCAAGAAATACATAATGAGTTTAATCATGTTAGTCAATTTGCATTCTGCAACCTCTAGCATATTTCTTTGAAAATGAGGCATAAAAAATTCCTTGAGCTTCTCAAATTATAGTTTGGTAAGTCATTCCAAAGTATATTATATATAATGTTAAAAGTATACCTCATTAATCTAACTTATTCCACAAAACACTACTGCATATAAGCATTCAGTTTGGCAGAATTAATATTTTAAAATGATAATTCAAGATATTGATAACAAGTAACGATAACTTTAATATAAAGTTGAATGCAGAGTGTGACTTGACATTTTTAGCCATACCATCTACATATTCAATGGTTCTTGTTGACAAGGGTGAATCTGGTTCCTGCAAAACTTGGCAGAAACTACACTTCAACTCGGCTTGCAGTTACAGCTCAACTCAGTGACAGTGCTATCCTGTGCCACTAATAGGAGTGGTCTTGCTAATCGTTTCTGAACCTAAGAATGGCCCTGATTTTCTTATTTGTCTAATTTCTTCGTGCTCCAGAATGTTCTGATATAACATTCTGGAGTCATAGAGGCTTCAATTTTATTCATAAAAGGTTGTAATTGCACACCGAAAGTTCATAACATTATACATTTTTTTTGGGCAAATATTGTTCTTAGATGAAGGTTTGGAACTTTTCTTCTCTTCAAAAGAAGTCATATGTCAGCATAGCAAAAGATGTGTACATTGGGAGCCTATTCATATTACAATCCTAACTCAATTCTAAAATAATTGGAAAATATCATCCTATCACACAACGTTTCTCATAAAATGCGAAAATTTCGTTTCCATACTTATTCAAACACTCCATAAGTTAATGTTAATGCAAAATAATGTTGTATCACTACTTTGATGGTTTAGTGTGTAGATTATATTTACTCAAAAATCTTAGTCAAGAGTTAATTTCTCATTTATACTCTAGTATATTTGATTGTCCCCCTTGATTCAGGTACTCTTGCCTGAATATAATTTCTTTCACTGAACTTATATTCATCTGAGTCTCAAAGAATGTCCAAATCAAATAAAGTAGTAGAGGTTGAGTTTGGTTTTTGTAACTCAATCCAAACCGAGTTTGTATTTGCATTTCTTGATATCACAGTTTTGAATCCGATCATATTCAAAAGTCAGTTGTATATCATGCTAAATGCTTGTGGATTATGAATCCAGCAAATCCAACCGACCCAAAAATTGTATGTCTTTACATCCGACCATGCACACACTTGACTCGTATTGACATTATTAACTTATATATAACAGTAAAGATTGAGACTATTTAAGATTTATATATATATATAGATAGATAGATAGATTTTATACCCTTTTGCATATGTAATAATTATCATCTTTAATATTAGATTAAGGGTTTTGTTAATTTCAATAAGTAGTTAATAATAATAAAATTTTATTAAAAAATATATATTTATTGTATTTTTATAACTTTAATATAATAATTATATACTTTTTTTCATAAAAAGAAATTATTTGTAGATGCCTATATTCAACTTTAAGTGGATGCTAAATATCAGAAAATAAGAGTTTATAGAAAATTACAGAAATATGAAAAGGTACCAAAAAGTAGAATATATTAAAAATATTTATTAGTTTAATAAAATATAAAAAATATATATTATTAATAAATTAAAATATATACCAATATTTTTTTAATATATATTATTAATTCTTGTAAAAATGAAATGAGTTAGAATACTCTTTGTACTCATTTTATTTTTAGTCAAATATTAATGCTTAACCAAAAAATATATATATGTGAAAATATGATATTATATTAGTTATTATAAAATTTAAATTTTTTTAATATAATAATTTAATAATGATATAAAAATATTTATAATATATTTTTATCAGATTTATAATCCAATAAATATAATTAAATTTTAAATAAATATATATTAATTTTTTGAAAATTCAATCCATACCCACCCCTAATCCTTATCATCGACACTACCAATCAAACCACTAAGTCACCAAATTCACTGCCATCTGCTACTATTAATTCCCACACCACAAGTCTGTTGTCTCGCAGCTCCCGCACCTCCACTATTATCTCGTTACTAAACAAGCTAGAATTGAAGTATGAAATGATTCGCATTGTTTTAACTTTAAATTGTGATATTAAAATCCAAAAAAGAAACACTACAATAATTTAGAAGTGAAAATTATAAAATTTAAAACTGATTTCAGTTTTTAAAATTTTCAAAACTTAGAATTAACAAACATACCGAATAGGACCTTAGCCTTCAAAGTTTTCTCCGCCCGCTGGAATTTCACTTCGGTATCTCCATAAAAAAAAAAAAAAAAAAGTACCCTTCTAATGGTGTGTATAAAAAGTGAAAATTAAATTACAAACGTCAAATTAAATTCAAAGCTTTTATTATTCAATATGACAAACAATTTTAAGGAGTTACAAATTAGCAATGATAAAATAAATTTTCCCACTTTCTATAGCAAAAATATGAAACAACTTTCGATTCTAAAATAGTTAAAGCAGCAAGCCTACGCTAACAATCAAAAGTAAAGCAGTGGATGGCATAGAAGAACTGTCCAACAGAGACCTAATTATGAAACACAGTGATAAACCAAAAGGCCAACAAAAACAACGATGGATTGATTCAATTTATAAAAGATTTGCATAATCATAAATGGATCACAGAGAAAGATGTAGATCGCTCAAACCAATTATATAAAAAACAAATATTCTTAGTTCCACAAGACAGGTCTGATAATTAACTTAGCTAAATGCCACAAATATTCTCAAGTTCTTCGACGAAGAAAATCATCCCCACGTCATCAACCGCCTAATGCCAGAATCTAAACCCGGGAGGGGCAGGTGGACACTAGTCCTTCAGCGATACTGCAACACAAAAAGAAAAAAACATTTGTATGAAAACCCATTCTAAAATAATTGAAAACAAGTAGAAATCTACACAGAAAAGTATATTCAAATGTTTACCTTAATGAAGCCAATTTCCTTGGCATTGCTACGGAAGCACTGCCTGCAGCACATAAGGCCGTACTTCCTGATCAATCCATGAGGGTTCCCACACACACGGCTGCAGACAGGACAGAACAGTAAACACATTCACTATCAATAAATATCGTCAAAATAAAATCAAACCATAAAATGTACAATTATATGACAAAGTAGTATGGCAATCCGACATTAACTAAATCAAACATATGTTTCCAGAAAACATTTAAATTGCAACGGTCAAAATTTCGAAAACAAGTCAAATTCCCGTTTCATACGCAAATGTAACCCTCCATTGTGGAATTGTGTCGACTTATTTGATTGAAACTCAGACAAAGCAAAATAAAAGAAGACAATCGATATAGAAAGATTCAAGAAAAAGAGCTCATCATAAAATCATTAAAGTACTTTGTTTAAAATTATTAAACCAGAACAAAAGAAAATATAGGACAGGTGGTATGCAAGCTTCTTCAAATCTAATTAATGAGGAAAATACTTGTAATCAGAAATACACAGCGACGGATCTCATATGGGGTCAAAGGAAAGGCTTCAAACTGAAAAGACTGAAAAGAAAAATCCCTAAAATAGAATCGCAACATGAAGGAACTTGAGGAGAAAGGATCAACTCTGTCAATTGTCAACTTGAATGAGCATTTGGGGAAGAGGAGTTAGTTACATACCAGGCGCGAGAACCAGGTCCATAGTTCTTGGGATGAGAGTTCCACACATTGGAGTGCCCCATGATTCCGATTTGCGCAGAAGAAATTGAGAAGAATCCCAAAACCCTAGCTTCGCTCGCAGTGGCGGAAAACTGTAGACTAGTTCCGCTATCACAACATATATAGCAGTCAAAAACCCTAGAGCGTCTTCTGTTTTTTCAGGGATGCTAGGGCGTGTTTGGTTTCTGTTATGTTATCGATAACAGTTTCCTTTTTTTTTTTTTTTTTTCTCTTCAATAACCGTTCCATTTTACTTTTTAAGAGTTTCCATTAATTTTTTTAGTTTAAAAAAAATAATTTCTATTGTGCTTTCAAAGATTAAGATAAGGTTTTATATAAATAATCATAATTATTAATATTATATTAAATATGTATAATAAATAATAAAAATTAGTAATCTATCTTAAAAAATATAAATATTTTTAAATTTTTAAGATTTTAAAATAATTATAACTATTAATTTAAAAAAATATAAAATTTCTTCTTAAATTTAGGAACATGGCAATAAATTTTTTTAATATTTATTATTAATATAATTATAATTTTAATAAATAATGTTGAAAATTTTATAATTTTTTAATAAAAAATAAAAAGGTTAAATATATAAAATAAAATAAAATTTATAGTTCAACCTAATTCCTTCTCAAACTTATATTTTGGATATTGCATTTTAACTTACATTTTAAATTAATAAATTTAAATTTTACTTTTAAATAAATTAGTTATATTTTTTCCTTTTAATTATATTATATTTAAATTATTATATGTTTTCATTATTATAATAATTGTACATATTTAATTAAATTGACTACTTAAATCGAAAAAGATTAATACCAATAAAAAAAAATACTTGGGGTCTAAAAAAATTTTAATTAAATTAAACCCAATATTTATATCTTATAATTGTGAACTTTATATTTTTTAAGTAATTTATATGGTGACTTAAAGATTAAGGAGACATTGTATGTCATTTTACATGTGTAATAATCATTATTATTAGTATTATATTAAATATGTATAATAGATAATAGAGGTTAGTGGTCCATCGTAAAAAGATATGATAAATGTCTTTTGAATTTTTAAGATATTAAAGTAATCATAATAATTAATTTAAGAAGACTACAAAATACTCTTTCAAGTTTACTGACACTGCAACAATAATTTAGCTTTTTTATTTAAATAATATAAATTAAAAAATTAATTATTAATTTATTATCTTTTAAACTATTTTCCTGTTTAGTGTGAATTTGTTAATGTGACATTAAGTTCACCAAAATAGTTGGTGAAAATGTTGAATTTTTATTTTCTTTAAAAATATATTTCACCACCAAGAAATGCAAAATATCTAGAATGTTTTCATGTGTCAGCATCTGCGTAATTTTGCAATATAATTGGCAAAATTAGAAGACAGTTACAGTGCAAAACTTTCAGATGTTGAAATATGTCAAAATCTAGTTAAGTTTTGTAAAAAAATGGTATAACTTGCAGGGAGTTGACATGCAACACTTTTTTGCAATAATGCACAAATAATATGGTGAAACTTTTAAGTAAATGCTCCAAACTCTTGCACTATATATTTCAATGACCAACATCTTTTATTTCACCTTTGAGTTAATTTATTTTATAATTTGTTTATAATTTAATTTAAAAGTATGGATTTAATTATTGTTAAATTATTTTTAATTAATTAATTTGATTTAGTGAATGATTATTTTTTTCTATTTTTATTTTAGAAAATAAATAAATATTAAATATTTTTTATTTGTAAAAATGAAGGATGAGTGGAATTATCGTTATTATATATTGTAATGGTCTCTATGAAGGAAATGAAGGAGTGAGTTTTAAAGGAAGTAAGAAAGTGATTAAGATAAAACAAGGAATAAGTTTTGAAGCCTTTAAAAGAAAAATTTATTTGAAACTTAATCTTAATCATAATCAAGTTATTTCTAGTTAATTTCATGTTTTTTAATTGATGAAAATATTAGATAGTATACAACTTTAGATATATGTGATAATGAATATATTAATTACATGATAAGTGTATTTCAACAAGAAGCTGGTAGATATGTTATTGAGTTATGTATGAATATTGTTGTTTGTAAAAGTTTATCCGTGTAGTGGCAATGATAAATTTAAATTTATTAATTTCACAGCAAAATGATGGCAATCTTATGAATTGTGATTACTATCAATTTAAAGTTGAAATTTAGAAATTATTTTATTAATATATTTATTTGTTAGAATTAAAAGTTATGAATTTGTGGCAATAAAGAAATTAGGAATAATGTTAATGAAGATAATCAAGACTTAGATTATAATAATAATAGTGATGGAGATGACGAAGGAAAAATTTTATTAGATAGTTTTTCTTCTACTGGTGTTGAAGGCGAGTTTGATTCCAACTTAAATATATAACAAGAAGAAATAGTAGGAAGTAATGTGAAATAATTTTAAAATTTGTTGTTTTTAATTAATTATGTTAATAGTAATGTTAAAGATTTTTGCAAAATATAATGTAGGAGAGACTGTAATTTCTTTTTGGAATGTAACTTCACACTATAAGTATATTAATTAGGAATATCTTGATCAAGAGATGAATGAAGAACATTTTCAAGAAGTCAATTCATGGGTTGAAAGAGATCCTTTATTCATTGGCTTATTATTTGATGGTAAAGAAGATGTGAAAAATGTATTAAAATATTACATAATGAAGATTCTTCAAAGTTATTTTGTAGCTGAGTCTAAACCAACATGTTTGTATGTGAAATGCTTGAATTGTAACGTCTTCAATTTCTTATTTCAAAATAAATAAATTTTATAGCAAAAGAGAAAAATAGAAGAACTTTTATTCTATTTTATAAATTTAAGGATTGAATAAAAAAAAAACTCACATTCCTTTTATGAAAATTTTATAAGATTCTAAAGTATTTAAAACTTTAAAGGAATAAATTCGAGACTTTAAAGTAATAAATAAAACTTAAATTTACATCTGACACATTATCTGGTTCACGTGGTATACATATAAGGTCAGAATATCATTAAGAACATCTCCAAAAGTATTTATTACAACAGAATTTGAACTCAATAAACCATATTAGGGCTCATTAGCCATCACCCAAAGTCGTCTACTCTCCCAAATTTTTAACATAGCACTGAATTTGGCTGACTAATTTTTCTTAGTCTTTCCTCTAAGCGTAAGGTCATGTAGCTGGTCAAGTTGGTAAGGGACTCTAGGTATATGTTGAATCATACCAAATTGACGCATCGCTCGATTAGGTTAGTGTCACTCATAAACTTGAAAACATATCAGTGGCACCACTACCCTCTATAAGTCCATACTGTCTCTATAAATAGGTGGCAACATATTAATGAACTCCACACTATATGGCACCCATACAATCTGTATCATGACATAAAAAGATGATTAATAAAAAAAAAAATACTAATCACTGTAATAAAGCAATAATAATATTTAAATTTAAATAACTATTTCAGTATAAAAATATGTATTACGTCATCACTTGTTAGACGATCAAATATATATTTGTAGTACTAGACATCCTTCTTCCCTTTCCTTATAGCCTATGATAACTATTTGCAAGTAATTTTTTAATACAAATATTAAGTATTGAACAACATTAAATATAATCTATGTGTAGAAAAACAATAACAACTTACCTCACACCATAGGGAAGATAGGGACATGTATGGGGGATTACTAGGTGCTAGATGAGGAAATATATCCCAAGCCCACATCACAATCAACGCAGCAAGTCCTCTAATAACAACATTGTCACTGTTGGTAGCCATGCATAGCTCTCGATAAAAATAACTTAGAATTGCAAAACTCCAACTATATTGATCAGTCAATTCAAAATCATCAAGTAAAGACAAGTACCTCACAAATACCCTACTACTAGAGTGATCAAGAAGCATGAACCCTTCAATGATCCTTAATATATATGCCCTAGCAAATGAAGTAATTTGCTATACTCTGATTATGCATCGCAATATGAGTGAAGTGCTCATCCAACTAGCTTATCTTCAAGAAACTTCCTACAAAAGTATCTGGACCTGGTTTGATACCTAGGTTGTCTTCAATAATTTGTGCCCAATCACCTATAGTGGGTGCTATAATCGGTCTCTCATCTCTGTTTAGTCTTAACAGAATAGCAACATCCTGAAGAGTAATAATACACTCTCCAAGGAACAAGTGGAAGGTGTGCGTCTTAGGTCTCCATCTCTCAACTAATGTAGTAATCAATCCCATATCCAAGGGAAACAGAGATAAGTTAGCCACTTTAATAAAATTGGCTAACTCCAAATGCAAAATAATTTCCTAAGGAACACCCTTTAATCCACTAAGAATATTTTGACTCATCCTCACTCTCAATATCAGGTGATCACGTCTATCCCAAATATGTTCAAAGACATTAATACTCTAAAACTGAAAAAGTGATGATGATGTCGTGAATTAATAATCCTACTTTGTTGTGAAGATGATGTCATCTATACTAAAAAAGAAAAACATGTAATTACAAATATCAACATCATTATTAATAGTTTATATTTTTCTAACATAATTAATAATAAATATATATATATATATATATATATATATATAAACTTTATTATAATAGTTAAAGAAGTTTATAGACAAATTATTATCACATCATAATAACAAATTTAAATTTATAATTATATTATTTATGCAAATATCAATATAAAAAATCTTGTTTTATAATTCTATACAAATTATTAGTATTTCTTAAATAAAAATATCAAAGTGCTAACCTTATTACAATACAAATTTGAAATTATTTAAATGTAATAACATAATTAAACAAAATTTTATTTATTTTTATGTACAAATCATGACCACATTTAAAAGAATTCAAAGTGTTAACATAATTATATATAACATTTTTAAATTGACTATAAAATTATAATCACATCATAATTAAAAAAAACTAACAAAATTAACTAACATTATATATAAAAAATAATAATTTATATACAAATTTAAATTACATCTTAACTAAAAACATTTAAATCACTAACATAATTAAGCATAATAATATTTTTTATTACATACTAATTATGATTACATTAAATAAAAAATTAAATTAGTAACATAATACTAGAAAAATTTTTTATATTTATGTACAA